CACTATTACTTTGTGGTTTACCAGAAAGTTATGAAACGTTTGTCACAGCACTTGATGCACATCCAGATGAAGAACTGTCATTGGAATACAATACAACAAGCTTGTGGATGAATATAAAACCATAAAGCATTAATAGTGACGGTGCCTCTGTTGCAGAGTCTGCTTTAAACACGGAAAATAGGAATAAAAACAATAACATGCAACAAGAAACACGTGAATTCTTTGTGTGGAAGAAACCAGGCCATTTAAACGCAGACTGCAGAATCTGGAAAGCTACAATACAAAAACGAACTAAACTACAAATGGCCAAAATTGTGAAGGAAGAAACTGATTTTTTTGAACATAATAAATATGTTTTTCAATCCAAAAGTTGCACCTCATCTTTGCAGACATGGTGTGTTGAGTCAGGAGCTGCAAGTCACATGACAAATGACAGAAATTTCTTTATTCACATTGACCAGTGTAAAACAGAAAAAAATCACCACAGCTGATGGGTAAATAATGGAATCAGAAAGAATAGGAGATGGTTTTCTTTACTCTGTTTCCCAGAGTGTCACCAGAAATATACCTGTGAAAAATGTCCTGTATGTCCCTGCTCTTGAAACTAATCTTTTGTCAGCAAAGAAGTTCACAAAACATGGCAATGTAGTGACCTTCCAAGGTGACAGTTGTGCCGTCAGTTATGATGAACTCTGTATCAGGTGAACTGCAATGAGGTGCTTAATACTGCCAAGGAGGAAAAGCATTCAAACTGCATTCACACATGGCGCAGGTGACTTGGGCACAGAAGTTCTGACATAATAAAGAAATAAACTGAGAGTGACTGGGCAAGTGGCATAAAAAATAGTCCATGTGATCAAACAATGAAATGCATCAGCTGTATAAAATGAAAAAGGTAATTTCTCACTTTTATAGATGATGACTCCAGGTATGCTACACTATATCTGTTACACGACAAGTGAAGTACCAGGGAAACTTGAACAGTATTTGGCTCAAGTAAGCAACAAATTTACCAAAATGTGTGTATTTCTCACAGACAGTGGAACTGAATATTCAGGTGATAACACACAGGTGATTTTCAGAAAGCATTGCATAATATTTCAAACTACTGTACCATACAACCCGGAACAAAAGGGGTTGCAGAAAGAATGAACAATACGCTTTGTGAGAGTGGAAAAAACATGCTGTTTGATACAGATATGCCAACCACATACTGGGTTGGCACTGATTGTAGGGCTATATGCAGAATTTCTAGCACTGATGAAGTTGTAAACCTTCCCTACTTTATCTCAATCTAAGAAAAACATTTCGGCTGGACACACATTTTAAATCTGAACTCCAGGAATTAGGCAAAATGGACCTTTTCAGTGAGGCACATCTGAACTACAAAGGCAAAATTTTCATTTAGTATAGGGGTAAATGAATATTTATTTACAGTCCTTCTAGTTGTACAACCGGACCAGCACCTCTGTCTCTCTAAGATGCTTCAGACCCCAGCCACATGCTCACCTCCTTATGTACTGTACAATGAAGGTGAAGGGTTAGTGCCCTGCACTGCATGTGGGGATGCAAAAGAACTGCCCACAGTGTGGACTGTTTGAGGGCAAGGAGGGAGTTATTGGGTTTTTCTGGGTTACGCTAGGCACTGTGGATGGGGTTATTCTCCCTGCACGTGGGTTACGTTTACTGTGTTGTGCTCATCAATGCCCTGGGACAAGGGAACCTCTTTCAGGGAAAGTAAACCATAAGGTGGTCCTCCAACTTAGAGATAAGCTGTGCACCGTGTGCATTGAATGAATAAACTGGACTCCAGTTAACCCTCTGCTCCCATGTCAATGTATACCTTAACTATAACTGATGCGTTTAGGAGGGATATGCTAAGACTGTGCCCACTCCACCGGTCCAGCGTACGTCTATCATCTCACTCCAGGGATGCACAATTAATATCGCCCGACACCCGGAACATGTAGTTCATGGGTCCAGGCTGATGGGATTTTTTTTAGATTAGCCCTGCTGGAGGGCATTTTTGCATTAAAGTCAATGGGAGGTGCTTTTGCATTGAAGTCAATGTGAAGCGTTTTTGCATTGTAGTCAGTGGGAGTCGATTTTGCATTGAAGTCAATGGGACGCGATTTTGTATTGCCGTCAATGGGACGCAATTTTGCAATGAAGTCAAAGGGACACGATTTTGCATTGAAGTCAATGACGCCCTATTCCTTTCAATGCAAAATCAAGTCCCATTGAGTTCACTGGGAAATCACCTCCCATTGAATTTAATGCAAAAAGTCTCCCATTGACTTCAATGCAAAAATGCCCTCCATTAACTTCAAAGCAAAAACTTTCAATAGCAATCCTATGTGAACACTTATCTCCGCATGCCACTGTACTCTATCACTTGCGTGTGTGGAACGCACCGGTACAAACTCGCACAGGACCCCTTTTGTCGTAATGGCACTCAAAACACAATGCGTGTGGATCGCATATGTGTGAACCACCTCAATAGGAACACATAATATCTAGCCTGTCATGCAAATCTGTGAGTTTGAAAACGCATCCAGAATCGCATATGTGTGAACAGGGCCATTCCATTCACACTTCACACCTCGCAAAATGCAGGTTCAGGTGCCATTATTTTCAATGGCACCTAAAACGTGGTACAGTTTTGGCGCGATTGTTGCGCCACAAATTGTGTGAAGCTTTTCGCCCAAAAGAAGCTCATGTTCCTTTATGGATGACGTGCTTCACATGATGTGATTTGCTGAGACTGCCACACAGTAAATTGCATGACAAATCACGGCAAAACCGCACCATGTTTTAGTTGGCATTTAAAATAATGACACATGAACCTGCGTTTTGCAACTGTAGTGATCGGCAAGTGCGAACAAGGCCTAATGAAGCGAACACTGGAACTTGATTTGGCTGCTCAACAGATGCTAGTACTGAGCACCCAAGTGCTCCCATGTGCAAGGGTAATCTGAAAGAATAAAGTTTTTTTCTTCTCATTGGGGCACCTTATTTACTCTCTCAGCAGATGTGCTTTCTGCCGAGCATTAAAAGAGCCCGACATTCCCCTTTCCTGACGAGCATCTAATCGGTGCTCATTACACTGCAAGGTCTGTCCCCTCCCTGCTAGTTCCTGGGTGTGGTGCTGGAGACAGGTAAGGAGGTCAGTAGTGTAGGATATTGTAAATATATATATATATATATATATATATATATATATATAGTGCATATTCATGTTATTGACCAAAAGGATAGCAGAGGACTCCTTACTATGTCAATTTATGTACAACACACCTTACCTTTGTTATGTTGGGTTAACCTGTTTTTGGATAAATATACAGAGAATCAGGGGGAGTTTTCAGAGCAGGTTATTTGCAAATCTACCAGCATTGTAAAATGCAAGTTTGTCTGATTAGATATGGAAAGGTCTTAAATATTCATAGTGTACTTGCTTTTGGTGAAGAGAATTTCAACATGGGTGTCTTGTCCACCTTTGTACAAGGATGTTGAAGATTGCAGTTTTGCCATAAACAAGACAAGGAATATCTATTTAACAATTTAATTAAAATCTGTGCATACAGCTGTATCTACAGCAATGTAGATACACTGATTGTAACATGCTCATAAAACCAACCAATCAGATTGCCCGACACTTTGGTCAATGAGAAAAGGTGTATATTAGGGAAGGTTGTTTGTGGGGACAGGAAAAAGTGGGTCCTATTAGGGTTTCTGATGATTGCATAACTATTCTGGGTACCCTGTCATCTGCCTTGTCTGTACCTCTGTTTTATGGATTGTCACTGAACTGATTAACCACTTGCCGTCCGCCTACTGTTTTTAAACGGCAGGACGGTGTCACTCTAGGGCGGGTTGCCGTTCATAAACGGCATCCGCATTTTCTAGTTTTGCGCGCTCCCTCGGAGCGCGCAGCACCGCGATCTGGTGCCCGCTGTGTCCTCCGGAACACCGATCGTCGGACAGGACCTCTGTGTGAGGTCCCGATCATGTGATCACTGATTGGCCAATCAGTGATCATATGCAGAGTAGTAAGCAAGATGTCACTTTTGAAATCATTGCTTACTACGTGTGAAATCTGTGAATGATCACAGTGGTCACATGGTACAAGGCTATTCACAACAGTCTTGTACCATGTGACAAGCTGTGACCAATCACAGCTCACTCAGTAGTTCTCAATGGCTGTAAGAATGCAGCCAGAGAGGAGAAATGATTACTTTTACAGCCTTTATGGGTGTAAAAGCAATTAGTGTAAAAAAAAAAAAAAAAATCTTCATCACACCCCACAAGTAGTACAGTGGTGACACTGTACTGCTAGGGTGACAGTATGTAAAAAAAAAAAAACAAAAAAAAACATAAATAATAATATATTAAAAAAAAAAGACATTTTTTTTTTTAATTATAATTTTTGGTTATAAACTAATTTGTGTTGTTATTTTTTTTTACTAAAAATATAACGGAATAAATTTTGGCCAAGATTTATAATGAAATATTATTTATTTGCAAAATTTTATAAGAAAAACACTTTTTTTCAAAATTTTTGGACTTTTTCATTTAAATAGTAAAAAAAATAAAAATCCCACGGGTGAATAAATACCACTAAAATAAAGCTTTATCTGTCTCAAAAAAATGCAAAAAAATTCATATGGGTATAGTGTTACATAACCGCGCAATTGTCATTCAAAGTGTGATAATGCTGAAAGCTGAAAATTGGCCTGGACAGGAAGGGGGTGAAAGTGTCCGGACAGGAAGTGGTTAAATGTATCTCTCTGGAAAAGAACTGTGGGACTAGTTGTTGTAGGAAAATACATTTATAAATACACATCATCATCCGTCCACATTAATATAAGACAACAGATTGTCTGTCTTATGGACTGTTGCTGTGTGGGCTTCCACATAATTAACCACCTCCCGCCCGCCATATAGAAAAATGACGGACGCAAGCCATTTCTCTCGTTCTGGGAGGACGTCATATGACATCCTCCCACTCTAACCGCGCATGGGTGACTCCTGGAGCGCACAGCGTGGCGATCGGCGGTGCGCTGTGACACAGCGGATCACCGATCCACGGAAAGAGCCGAAGATGTCGGTTCGGTCATGTGATCAGCTGTGTCCAATCACAGCTGATCACATGTAAACAGGGAAATGCCGGTTATCGACATTTCTCTCCCCACGAGCTGTCACGCTGACAGCTTGAGAGGAGAAGAGAGCCGGTAATCGGCATTCCTCGGAGGGGACATGTACACAGATCATCAGAGCACTGATGATCAGGGTTCCCTGATGATCTGTGTAGCCCCAGCAGTGCCACCTGTCAGTGTCCATCAGTGCCAGCTCTCAGTGCTCATCCATGCCACCTGCCAGTGCCCATCAGTGCCACATCAATGCCACATATCAGTGCCCATCTGAGCTGCCTTTCAGTGTCACCCATCAGTGCCAGTCAGTGCCACCTATCAATGCCAGTCAGTGCCACCTATCAGTGCTGCCAGTCAGTGCCACCTATCAATGCCAGTCAGTGCGGCCTATCAGTGTGCATCAGTGCCGCCTTTCAGTGCCCGTCAGTGCTGCCTATCAGTGCCGCCTAACAGTGCCAGTCAATGCCACCTAACAGTGCCAGTCAGTGCTGCCTATCGGTGCCAGTCAGTGCCGCCTATCAGTGCCGCCTATCAGCGCCATATATGAGTGTTGCCTTTCAGTGCCCATCAGTGCCACCTACCAGTGCATCCTCATCAGTGCCACCTATCAGTGTCCATCAGTGCAGCCTATCAGTGCAGCCTCATTAGCGCACATCAGTGAAGGAGAAAAATCACTTATTTACAACATTTTATAACAAAAAGTAAGAAAACATGTTTTTTTTTGTCAAAATTTTCAGTGGTTTTTGGTTTGTTTAAGAAAAAAATAAAAAACCCAGAGGTGATTAAATACCACCAAAATAAACTATCTGTCACAAAAAAAATTATAAAAATTTCATATGGGTACAGTGTTGCATGACCGCGCAATTGTCATTCAAAGTGCAACGCTGAAAGCTGGAAATTGGCCTGGGCAGGAAGGGGGTATAAGTGCCCTGTAGGCTAGTGGTTAATAAAAGACAACAAGTAGGAGATAAACAGTGCAATGTTAAAAACATTTAAAGTTTAAGTCGCCATAAAGCCTCTTTAGTTTTTAAAGCCTCAGACATACCTAAAAGAACCTCAGATTTATATATGGTTTTGGTTATTTAATTTTTTTTTTTTTTTCAGGACAGATAGATTGTCATGAGGGACAAGTACATTGGAACCCTCATTTAGTCCCTTGGACAAGTAGTTTTTTAAAAAAAAATTTTACACCCCTGTCACTCCCAGTGACAGAATGGGATCCTGCTGTGCACTTAGCGTGGACCTCATGTGTGCACTTAGCTCTTACTCTTCAGTATCTGGTGGCTAAGTCAAGAGCCTCTGTTACACTGATCTGCTCCCTTTGCTATGAGAGACAGACTGCTGGGGAGGGAGCCCCAGAAGCAACCCCCTCACTACTGGAGGACAGCTCACCTAGCACAGGTACCACGCTTCACGGCAGGCTGGTTGTTCTGAATACTAATCTCTTGTTACTCGTAGCAACTACTTGCTCCTACTCCGTACCTTGTTAACTCTCACAGAGGCTGACTTCATGCCCCAATGTGCTTCAACTGACCCAAGCTTCAAGTGTCTATGTGTATTGTGCTGGTAACTTACATAAATATATTTCAAACACCCCTTTAGAATAACTTCAGACCAGGCAGGTCAACATTCCAAAGGTTTTACTGCGAAACTTCAGCATAACAGTTCAAACAGAACAATAAGCCTTTCCCTGACTATCTGTGGCTGCCCCAGCATACCTGCATAGGTAGAGTCCAACAGTGGCAAGTCCAAGGTGGCAGTAGTCCATAATGATGGTGTCCTGATGAATCGGTGTCTTCAAAGCGGACTACAAGTTTCAGCAAACCCCTCATACATGATGGCATTGTGCAGTTCCTCATGCTGAGTTCAGTGGAAAACTCTCCCCAGAAACTCACCGGCGGCATTCTGCCCCCTTCTCTCTTGGGATCGGAACCCCTGTCCTTTTTATAGTAACACAGGACTGATGGGTTGGACCCAGAAAAGCCTACAAACTAAGCCCGGGGAAGGCGATAAAAACATTAACCCCTTTACCTATAACTAACTTACAGTAAGCAACCTGCCTACACGTTGGCCAGAAGAGAACAGCACTGGAACAGAGGCTAGGGTAACTAATAAACCTATTCCTGCACCCTAAGAATTTAGCCTTTGCAGTGTGGGGGGCACTGCAAGGATAGATTTATCTAATTCCTGGAGTTAAGTTTTCAAAATAATTTATAGATTCTACCAATAATGAAGGTACTGCAAATATATGCAAATAAATAGCAGCAAAAGGATTTGTTCTGAGATCTAAGTCTCCAATATGGAGATTTGTCTCCTGACAAATCCAGCAAGCAAAAAAAACTGTTGTTGGTTTATGAGTAATGGTTGCTGTCTTGGGAGATATAAGAAAGGAGTTTCATGAGTTTCAGTTTACCAGCTACTTTCACCTACTTTTGTAAGACTTGGAGCTCTGCCTCCTGTGAGGTGCAGTTGCAGGTTGTAAACCACACAGACTGCATGTTTTAGGTTTTCTGCATGTTAAGCAATGTTAGAGTCATCATGTAAAACAGTAGGAATCTATTTATGAATCTTTTCCCCCAAAGATTCACACAGCTTTCATCCAAGACACACACATTTTTCTAACTGGATTCAATGACATAAAATAGACCCTTGTATTTGCCTTATGTTGCTTATGAAACCCCCTGTATTACAAAAAAGAAGGATTTTTGTACGCACAGTAAAATCCATTTATATGTATTTGTATTTATTAAGGGGCGTAGGATTTAGTTATTCAGAGACAATTGAGCTATGTTGCAACCTACAAAATGATTCGGACACTAGCAAACAAAAAAATCAGTTGGCCAGCCAGGTATAAACCCTGTATGCCATAGTAAGTATCCAAAAGCAGTCCAACTTAAAACATACATGGATCGAAATTTTTCGGTTCAGCAGGGACCAGCCAAGATTCGATCCAGGTATGGGCAAGCTGATTGTATTGCAATCTATCAATCGACTTGGGTACAACCAGACTGTCAGACTTTTTACATTTGAATACTGCTGATGGCTAAAGCCACTAGCAATTAACATTGTGTTCTGAAAGCCGGGAAGGCTCTCTGCACCCCCCTGCAAGCAGAACACAATAGGAGGAGGCATTCCCCATCAACACTGACTTTGCTGATGGGGTAATTGGGCAATTTTCTTTCCTTCCATCTGTGGTGGAAAGAAAATCAACTCATCTATTGGCTGCTTTAGAAGTAACAAAACACTAACGGTCCTACATAAAAAAAAAAAAACGGAACTGGGGACAACCTGCAGCTTAAAGAGCTATCTCAAGGACCTTACACCCGAAGCTGGATTAAGATGAGGCCTCACCATCCATCTATCAAATTTTAGAGAAAGTGTGGATAGAAGACCAGGTGGCAGCCTTGCAAATCAGGAGAGCAGCTGCCTTATGCCTTATGCCAATAAACCAAACAGGTACTTACAGGTCTATTATAATTAACTTTAACAGGAAAGGGTGGAACCGATGCTTAAGTCCAAATGTATACTGTAACAAAAAGCAAAAGAATAATCAGTCTGAGCCAATGAGAAATAGTTGAATGAGAAGCTAGTTCCCTCTTGCCGGGACCATCAGGACTCACAAGAGTCAGTCTTTCTAATAGAAGCAGTGGCTGAGAGGAAAGCCTGCACTTTAGAAACCACATTTAGGCAGGGAAAGGAAATTTTAATTTAGATGAAATGAAGCCACAGAGATGGGAGAACATTTTCTTGGTTGATGTGAAAGGCTAAGCCACCTTAGAAGAAAAGGGATCTTAAGCCTCCATAAAACTTTATCCTTGTGTAAGACCATATATGGTTATTTACAGGACAAGGCTGCCAGCTCCAACAACTTCCTCCCAGCAAGGAAGGCAACCTTGTGAAAGAGATTGGAAAAAGAAATATTCCTAATAGGTTAAAAAGGTGTTCTTTGAACCAGATTCACATCCCACAGATTCTTGAATGATTGCAAATGAGGAACTCCATGAGATACACCTTGTACAAAATTCTTAACCAATGAATGGGAGGGTAGCGGTCTTTGTAATTTGATTGCAAGGGCTGAGATTTTCCCTTTGATGGTACTCAAGGCTAAATGATGTTTTACACCTGATTGCAGAAGGGTCTAGAATATTTTCTGGGTGAAAGCTTTGGTCCTCGCACCATGCAAAGTATGCCATTCATTTTCGATGGTAGACCTTGCTGGAGTTAGAAATGCTCGCTTTTAACAGCATTGAAAGTACTTATACAGTTGCAAGAAAAAGTATGTGAACCCCTTGGGATTACGTGGAGTTTTGCATGAATTGGGCATAAAATGTGCTCTGAACGTCATCTAAGTCACAACAATAGAAGAACACAGTCTGCTGAACATAATACTACAAAACATTAGATGTTCCCATGGTTTAATTGCACATAACATGTAAACATTCACAGTGCAGGGAGGAAAAAGTATGTGAGTCCCTAGCTTAATGACTTCTCCCAGAGCTAATTGGAGCCAGGAGTGAGCCAACCTTGACTCCAATCAGTGTGATGATATTGGATGTGTTGCTGACAGCTGTCCTGCCCTTAAAAAACACACACCTGTTTTGGGTTTACTGGTTTCAAGAAGCACTGTCTGATGTGAACCATGCCTCGCAGAAAAGAGCTCTCAGAAGACCTACGATCAAGAATTGTTGACTTGCATGAAGCTGGAAAGGGTTACAAAAGTATCTCCAAAAGCCTTGATGTTCATGTGTCCACGGTAAGACAGACTGTCTACAAATGGAGAAAGTTTAGCACTGTTGCTACTCTCCCTAGGCATGGTCGTCCTGTAAAAATGACTGCAAGAGCACAGCGCAGAATGCTGCATGAGGTAAAGAAGAATACCAGAGTGTCAGCTAAAGACCTACAGAAATCTCTGGCACATGCTAACATTTTTGTTGACACATCTACAATAAGGAAAACATTAAACAAGAATGGAGTACATGGGAGGACACCACGGAGGAAGCCATTGCTGTCCAAAAAGAATATTGTAGCACGTTTGAAGTTTGCAAAAGAGCACCTGGATGTTCCACAGCACTACTGGCAAAATATACTGTGGACAGATGAAACCAAGATTGAGTTGTTTGGGAAGAACACACAACACTATGTGAGGAGAAAAAAAGGCACAGCACACCAACATCAAAACCTCATCCCCACTGTAAAACATGGCAGAGGGAGCATCATGGTTTGGGGCTGCTTTGCTGCCTCAGGGCCTGGACGGATTGTTGTCATTGATGGGAAAATGAATTCCAGAGTTTATCAAGACATTTTGCAGGAAAACGTACGACCATCTGTCCGCCAACTGAAGCTCCGCAGAGGATGGGTGATGCAACAGGACAATGACCCAAAGCATACAAGTAATTCTTCAAAACAATGGCTGCAACAGCACAGAATACGCCTTCTGGAGTGGCCCAGTCAGAGT